GGGAACCCCCTAACTATGCCCTAATGAGGGCAAAGTCTGCCACGCCGGCTGTGCCTTGGAAGGCTCATGCTCTCTCTGGGCATATGATTCTCATCCCTCAGAGGAGGGTGTGGGACTGATCACCAAGCTCCTGGTAGCCCCAGCAGGTAGTAAGTGGCTAAGAGAGGCCGTCTGAACCTACTCTGTCTCAGTCCTGCTTGGGACTCTTGCCCCCCAGGTGGAGAAAGAGCGGGAGCTAGAGCTTCAGGAGAGATTGGATGAGCAGCGAAGGGCACTGAAAGGAAAGCATGAGGAGGCCCTGCAAGGTGAGTAAGGATGGAGGTGCTCCACTGGCGAGGGGGAGGGAGGCCTCTCCTGGCCCCACCTGCTGGGTTCACTCAGGACTCCCGCCAGCCCCTCCGTCTTCCCTCTGGTCTATATGCAGTGAATCGCCAGGGTCTTGGCCCTAGCAGGGTGATGAACTTTTCCTGTGGGCCATGGCTTTAAAAATCTGGCACCATACTTTGAGTTTCCTTATTTGAGAGGTTTTTTTTCTTTCCACTGTAAAAGCAATGTATATTCATTAAAGGAAAGCTGGAAAACCTAGAAAAATAGGAGAATTGTAAACTAGCCACATTCTGTCATTACAATTTACAGTTAGGTTGGTTGTTGAGAAAACAAACTTTCTTTCCTCTTACATCGCCACATGTGATCATCATAGAAAATTTAGAATCTATAGATTAAACAAAAAGATCTTATAGCACAGTGGGTAAGATCTCATTCTCTGGAGCCATCCATGGTCCTTGGGTTTGAATCCCCGCTCCAACACTTAGCCGCTGTGTAACCTTGAAGAATTTACTTTATCTCCTTAAAATGTTCTTTGTAAGAATTAAACAATTTGATAATAGTCAGGCAGAATTTAGAACAGTGCAAGATACTTGGCAAACACTTATTTTCATATCTTTTTAGGTCTGAGAAAAATAACATCATGATTAATTCCACCCAGTGCTAACAACGGTCAACCCCTTCCACACAAATCCCTTTCATTTCTTTTTCAGTGTACGTATACATGTGAATATATGCATACACTTTGTAAAGAGAAAGCAAATTGGTATTTTTCACTTTGAATTGTGTAAGCATCCTGTCATTAAACTCTTCTACAACCTAAGTTTTAGTAATGACATAGCATTCTAATAGGTACCCTCTTTCATTTTAACTAAGTGCTGTCGCTTGTGGATTTAGGTAATTTCAAAACTTTTGCCCTTGTTTGTAACAGCAATGATACTTTCAGAGTGAATCCCATTTTGTAACATTTTTGACATATTCATGATTCTTTTTTTAGAAAAATATGATGTGGCAAAGTTTATTTACCTATCTGTACAGTATCGCTATGTATTTTTTTATTTTGGCAAAATATGCAGAACATTTAGCATTCATGACTTAGTACATTCACAGTACCATGCAACCATTCTCACTATCTAGTTCCAGAATATTCTTTTTTTTTCTTTTTTGGCCAGGGCCGGGTTTGAACCCACCACCTCTGGCATAAGGGGCTGGCACCCTACTCCTTGAGCCACAGGCCCCACCCAAGTTCCAGAACATTCTTATCACTCCAAAAGAAAACCCTACACCTACCATTTTAACCCCACCTGGCCCCTGTCATCTCTTGGCAACTACCAATCCACTATCTCCATGAACTTGTCCATTCTGGATACTCATATAAATAACATTGTACAACCTGTTTCCCTTACCCAGCATAATGTTTCCAAGGCTCATCCACGGTCCAGCCTGCATCTGCACTCCATTTCTTTTTATGGCTGAATAATATTCCATTGCACTTTATCCATTCATTAGCTGATGGACACCTGGGCTGGTCTGCCCTTTGGCCACTATAAATAGTGCCACTGATACAAGCACCTGCTTGAACAGCTGTTTTCAGCTCTCCTAGGCAGACACTCAGGAGGAGAACTGCTGGGTCCTATGGTGATTCTGTCCTTAACTTTTTGAGAAACTGCCAAACTCTTTTCACAGTGGTGGTACCGCTTTCTGTTCCCACTAGCAGTGCACAAGGGTTCCAGTGGCCCCACATCCTTGTCAACACTTGTTGTTTTCCATTATCATTACCATTATTGCCATCCTAGTATGTGTGAAGTGGTATCTCACTGTGGTTGTGATTTTCGTTTCCCTAATAACTAATTTTGTTAAACACCTTTTCATGTTGTGTATCTTCTTTGGGGAAGGTCATCTATATTTTTGATGCTGTTGAAATTGACCTTGCAAATGCTCTACCAGTTTTTCCCTTTCCCCAGAGTTATTTATCTTTTTAAAAACATACTTATGATTATTTTGTATGTAAAATTTTTTAGACTGTACTTTTCATTTAACATTGTGTCAAACACATTTCCAAGTAATTATGCTACTAATAAAATATTTATAAAATCCAGACCATAATATACATGGTTTTCTTTTATTTTTTTTTTGTGTGTGTGTGTGAGTATAGTCATCTAGATTTTAGCCACTGTAAGTAACACTGTTCTAAACATCTTTTGTGTAAAGATGTGCCCACATTTCACATTTTGTCGTTAGATTTTTTTTTGAAATGAAATAACTAGTACAGAGGTCTGAACAATTTAAAGAATCTTTTTTTTTTTTAAAACAAGCCTCAAGCTGTCACCCTAGGTAGAGTGCTGTGTTGTCACAGCTCACAGCAACCTCCAACTCCTGGGCTTAAGTAATGCTCTTGCCTCAGCCTCCCAGGTAGCTGGGACTATAGGTGCCCGCCACAACACCCAGTTATTTTTTGGTTGTAGTTGTCATTGTTATTTGGCTGGCCCTGGCTGGATTTGAACCCCCCAGCTCTGATGTATGTGGCTGGCGCCTTAGCCGCTTCTGATGTACATGGCTGGAGCCTTAGCCACTTGAGCTACAGGCACCCAGTGGATTTTAAGAATCTTGAAACATATTGCAACATTAACACAAAACATTGTGAAATGGAAGTAAAGCCCTTGCCTAGGCATTTGAAGCTTTGCCTTTTAATACTCCCACACCCTGTTAAATAGGGTTGTCTCCCAACCTGCTTGAATCTCCATTCAGTTTCTTTCTTTTTTTCTTTTTTTGGCCGGGGCTGGGTTTGAACCTGCCACCTCTGGTATATGGGGCTGGCATCCTGAGCCACAGGCACTGCCCACACCCATTCAGTTTCTACATCTTTAAAATCTACTGGGTGGCGCCTGTGGCTCAGTGGGCAGGGCGCCAGCCCCATATACTGAGAGTGGCAGGTTCAAACCCGGCCCTGGCCAATCTGCAACAAAAAAATAGCCAGGCACCTGTAGTCCCAGCTATTTGGGAGGCTAAGGCAAGGGAATCGCCTAAGCCCAAGAGCTGGAGGTTGCTGGGAGCTGTGATGCCAGAGCACTCTACCGTGGGCGATAAAGTGAAACTCTGACTCTACAAAAAAAAATAAAAAATAATAAAAGAAAATCTACTTTCCCTGCCTCACAAGGCTTTATGGGAAAATATCTTTGTCCTCCTAGCATTGTTTTGATTTTTTTTTTTTAGCCCTCGGTAGAGTGCCATGCTGTCACACAGCTCACAGCAACCTCCGACTCCTGGGCTTAGGCGATTCTCTTGCCTCAGCCTCCCAGTAGCTGGGACTACAGGCACCTGCCACAATGCCCAGCTATTTTGTTGTTGTAGTTTAGCTGGGGCTGGGTTTAAACCCGCCACGCTCGGTATATGGGGCCGGCACCCTACCCACTGAGCCATATACACCACCCGTTTTGATATTTTTTTAATCTTATGAATATTAATATGTTGATAATATAGGCAATACCTTCTCTTCTGGCTTTTAACTAGGAAATTTATCTTGAGTTTGGCCCATCAGTCAGAATTCTTTTCTAGTAGTTTTTAAATTGCATGGCATGTATTAAGTGCTATATAAGCTTGTGTTAAGTAAATGAATAAAAGCATAGCATGATGGAAATACATGAGATTTTGTGTGGGGAAAGGTACACAAATAATCAGGAGAGGCTAGTCGTGGTTTTCTATATTCAATAACTTTTTGTTGTCTTTTATTTTCTGTTTTTAATTTTTAAACTGTAACATAGTAAAACTGACTATCTGTGTACAGTTCCATACATCCTAACACCTATATAGACTCTTGTAACTATCACCACAATCAGGATACAAAACAGCTCCCTCACCCCCCAAACTCTCTCTGACCCCCCTATGCTAGCATCCTCCCCTCTCCCAACCTCTGGCAACCACTGATCTGCTCCCCATCACCCTAGTTTTGTCTGTTCGAGGCTATTATATAAATGAAATAACACAATATGACCTTTTATATTGGATTCTTTCTTCCATCATGATGCCTTTGAGATTCATTCAAATCCTTATATGTTTCAATAATCCATTCCTTTTCATGGCTGACTTGTATTCCATTCTTTAACTCATTCACTTGTTGCAGGACATTTGGGTTATTTCCAGTTCGAGGCAATTATGAGTAGAGCTGTTCTAACATTTGTATATAGCTGTTAGTGTGGACTTGTTTTCATTTTTGTTGAGTAAATATATAGGAATGGGATTGATAGGTCATATAAGTGTATACTTAGCTTTATGAAAAACAGTTGAATTGCTTTCCACAGTGACTACCATTTTATACCATCAGTGATTTCTGAGTTCCACTGTTTTCACCAACACTTATTGTCACTGTCATTTTGGGGGTTTTTGTTTGTTTTTTGAGACAGAGCTGTCACCCTGGATATAGTGCTATGGTGTCATCAAGCTGTCACCCTGGATATAGTGCTGTGGCATCACAGCTCAAAGCAACCTCCAGCTCCTGGGCTTAAGTGATTCTCTTGCCTCAGCCTCCCAAGTAGTTGGGACTACATACACCCACCACAATGCCAGGCTATTTTTTGGTTGTAGTTGTCATTGTTGTTTGGCAGGCCAGGCTGGATTCAAACCTACCAGCTCTGGTTTATGTGGCTGGCGCCCTAGCTGCTGAGCTACAGGCGCTGAGCCTGCCTATTCTCTTTGGTCAAATGTCTGTTCAAGTCTTTTTCCTCATTTTAATTAGCTTGTTTGTTGTTACTATTGCTTTTTGAAAGTTCTTTATATATTTTAGATGGGTTCTTTGTATTTATAAAGATTTTTTTCCTAGTCTGTGGTGTTTTTTTTTTTTTCATTTTCTTAATAATGTCTTTCACAAAGCAAAACTTTTAATTTTTTTTAATTGTTTGGGATTCTTTTCTGTTACAAAGAATTAGCTTACAATGATTGCAGCTATTAGGTAAAGTCTCTCTTAGAATTGTGTCCCACCCCTACA